CCGATTTTCACTTTAAAGCCACAAGCAATCATTGTCACTTGGGCGAAGAGCAGAAAGCTTTTAAAAATATATTGGACACTCAAGGTTCCATGCAGGGTATTGTAGACATTTGGATGCAGTCGTAACAAGAAGTAAAAACGATGCCACTCGTAAAGAAACGTTTGATTTGGCCTGGACAGAGGTAATTGTAACAATCTCTTCCATACTTAATTCTTTCTGCAAGTTACAATCCTTTAAATTGTGTGACGTCTCAACAATCTTGTCTGATAAAAACTACTGATGAAAGAGGCGTTGTTTCGTTGCAGCTTCTACTAATAGCTCTCCCAACTTATTCTGCAGCCTCAACATTAGTGCTGAAACACAACAATAAATTGTGCTGGTGTATCTGATTTATCTTGTTTTGTTTTTTTATAAGTGTGTAATTGTGATTCACATGTGACGTTGAGTCAGTGTGCATATTTTTATAGTGGTTCTTCCAAATGTATTCATATTCTCTCTCAATGAAGTCGCAAATGAGGAATTTGTATATAGATTCATTGCTGAAGAAATTCATAAATTGCTAATCAAAAAACGCGTGTTAAAAGAAGGCAGATCTTATCGAAATGGCAATATTTGGATTGAGCATTGATGAGAATTGAAGATAATCTAAATTCTCCCTCAATCTTAGCCGACCAAATTCAGAATGTTTGTGGGATGAGGCTGGAGAATTGGGGAAGGATATCAGATTTAAAGTTGATGAAGCTATCAAACAAGAGGGTTTTGACAACTTAACCCCCTTGTTTGAGAATTTAGAAAGCAGATACATGCATTTTAAAAGCCATTGTTTTTCTGACTTAGTCAAATTGTCAGAAAAAATACATGTCATTAAGCCAAATTCAATGGGAAGCTTACCGCATGGGAAAATGCCAACATTCTCAGGCGTGTAAGATCAGTTTATGCAATTTCATGATATCTTCATAACTGCAGTAGTGAAAAATGATTCACTGAGCAATATTGAAAAATATATGCATCTGCTTTGACATTTAAATGAGGAACTGTATATGCTTCTTAGCTCCTTGAATGTTTTAGGTGATAACTTTGACAGAATTATTAGTGGATAGGAATTTTAATACCACCAAGATAATGGACACATATGAAAGCTTTGCTTAATTTGTCACAAATAAAAGGTGGTTTATCTTCTTTTAAACAATGCATTTCTCACATTTCTACATATTGAAGAAGACTAAAACCGATATCACTCAATGTAAATTTATGCGAAATAATGTTGCAACGTTTAGTGTGCTCTAAGGTAGTCTTTAAAACTAGAGAATCATGGTATCTTATCAAGGATTTGGAAAAAAGAATGCCAGGATTGCAAGAACTATTAGATTTCTTAAAGTATAAATCAAATACACTGGAATTTAATGAGCACATTTCTTAAAAACCTCATCAGACAGCACCTAACATCTGGGTGTTTGCTATGAATATATCTATTCCGGGCAGTGCATTCTGTGTCCTGTTGTTTTTTAGTGTGTGCAATTTCAGCGGTGAACTACGCAAGAAAGATTACAGGTGTTTTGTACAAATTTCTTGTGCATGAATTGTTTGTGCAAAGTAGTCATAGACCACCCCTGTAGCAAAAAGATGTGCAAGATATGTAATCTGAAACATCATTCTCTTTTGCGTGACCCAAATCATAAGGGACAACCAGTGAATTCAAACATAACATTAATAATGGGCTCCTGCAACTTGTGTTAACGTACAATCTCAATCTTCCCCCGACGCAGGAGAATGCTCTATAGTTAACACGGCAGCACAAGTGGCTGAGAAAGTTTTCTCTCATATGGTCTTCGGTGAAACAAAGAAATTTCGGGTCTTGTTGCCAACTGCTGCTATTATTTTAGTCTCTGACAAAATTAGAAATGATATACCAGTCAGAGAATTGCTAGACTAGGACAGTGAAGTTTGTTTCATAATGGAGGTTCTTGTCCATTTACTAAATATTCAAAGAAGAGTGTGTCACTATTTGGTTAATTATTTATTCAGTTAATTATCTGAAAGCAGGATCAAATGAGGAAGTGAATGTGTCTATCAAATCTCGTTTTAATGATTGGCAAACTGGAGTGTAATATTTAATAGATCCGTCTATTTCATCAAATTTTCCTTAAACGTCTCTTGATTTGTCAAAGTTAAAAATTCCAACACATCTCAAACTTGTTTTATTTGTCTTACAATATTGATATGTTATTAAACTCTTCTGTGTTTCTTTGAAGTTTTAAAAGAAAAATATCTCACTACCTAATGTCGTCCCTATCTTTTTAGATACACTGTTAGGTTCAGTCATAGCAGAATGCACTAACGTGTAATAAACAACTATATTCTGCATTTCTGTGTATACAGAATTCTAATTGCGTAACCAAGAAAACTGTAAATCCTCCTCAGACACATTGAACAAAATCAGTTCTTAAATATGGAATTGTTGGTAAGAATTTGGGTAAACGGTTGATCCTCAGAATGGTATTTGTCTTTAAGGTAATTTCCTATGCTATTACTAGAAATAGATTGAGAGTTCCTACTATCAAAGTGTGTATAAGTTTATAAGATCCAAAAATTATTCAATGACCAACGTCAATATAGGTGAAGGTGAAGAAGAATGATGATCTATTAGCCTGCATTGTTTGTACAAGTCAACCATTTTTACATCTTGGCTGATTGTCTGATTCTATTAAGTGCTATATTAATTTCGGCAGTATAAAGTATTGCTTGGAAAGTACGTGTTATATTTGAAATAATTATGCATAATCTTCAATGTTTCATCATGTTCAAATATTAAATGGAGTTGGTACGTTAATAAGATAATTGTAAATAATGTGGAGTGTTTTGTTTTTAAAGGTTTATTCATTAGTTATTAATATGAATGTTATAAGATTTCGCCTTGAACCGAGTTTAAATTCTTCAATAGATTTTATTGTTCTTCAAAATCCTTCCTGTTCGAATCGCCACCGAGAGATGGCACCAGGTCCTCGCCAATCCGGAGAAGCTCAACCACCTTGCTAAGGGAATGTTCGATGCCGATAGTCAGCATCTACTTGTTAGTTCCGCGCGTCACCAAAAGATAGCACTAGCTGCTTCTGTAGAAAGAGAGTGCACGTTCTCTCGTTTGATGTGCCTTGACGTGGATGGTCGAGTGTTTCCTGTCAGTTCCGACTGTTAAATATTCTCTGGTTGTTTCTTAATCAGGGTAGGGAAACTTAGCGGTCAAAAAGAGGTAATGATTTTTGCGCCATCTACAACAGGTCCGAAATGATCCGAACTAAACGTGTGACGTCATGCAATTCAAAAAGCTGTGTAGGGAATAGCCATGAATATTATCTGCTTTTCTTATGATTTAATACAAAGAATTAATAGTATTATTTGCAGAAAATGGGTAAATGCAAAGAGTATATATCAGAGACGGCACTCAATATTAAAAGGAAAAGCCTTATTTGCCCAACTACCGGTGCCGCCATATTGTTCTGTATAATTTCTATTGGGTGAATGGACAGCCAATAGAGTAGAAGTAACCGGTAAATTTGAAATATACCAGCGACGCGGGAACTTTTTTTTTTTTCACTCCCATACTTTCCACGCCTTAATTTATTAAAAAATTCACAATAATAATTATAAGGATTTTATGGAAGAAAAAAGTCCAATTAGGGTAGTAAAATCTAGTATTTATTGAGCATATTGATATTATACAATTTCGTAATTTCATTAGTAATAACAACTTTGAATTACAGAAAGTAATAAACAGTACACCTGCATAATTGCAACTTTAGTATTTGCTCGTAGATATGGCAAATTAATACTATGGAATACTACATTATAACAAGCATTATGAATAAATAATAACAGAATTGAATAGAAACAAATGAAAATACTACCACACATTTGCCCAGGTAAAAGAAATAATTATGATACAAGGGGTAAAAGCGCCATTTTATTTTTGATCTGATTAGGTCACATGAACGTATTTTGTTTTCTTTCTTGTTTTCAAAGTTTTATCAGAACATTTGAACATTGTCCCGCTTTAAGCAGTAGTGCAATAAATTGAGCTTTTAGCATGCTCTACATGCCTTGAAGAACCGCTTTTACTAGTTGCAAAGTACAAATGTTTTTCATTAGTCAATAAATATTTGAAATATTTTATTTACCCATGCCAATCTCACACATTCACAGTTCAGAGCCTGGCTTTTTTAAAATGGGATCCACCTGTCTCTTATACACATCTAGATGTGTATAAGAGACAGGAGCCAAGCCTGGGACCTTCTGATAACTGGGCAATGTCCTAATAACTGAGCTATAGAATCAAGCATTGCATTCACGACTCACAACAATTCACAATCTAAAAAGGATCAGCATTCATATCCAGAATGTTATTAGCATGACGATGAACAAAACACAATGGTACTCACATACTAGAATATAAATTGAATCAAGATTGTGTTTGTCATGGGAAACTGTTATTGTAAGAACAGTATAACAATACATAAGCAACTTATATCAATACTAATAATAAATATTAATACTAATAAGAAAGAAACAAATTGCAGACTAGATAATAGCCATTAAATAAATTCTAAAATTGCATGAAAATAGCCTCTGAAACAGAAATTCAAAACCTTTGTATTCATAATATTCAAATAAAGTGTCTTAACATAGCAAGAGGCATTCCAAAATTGAGAAAATGATCATGCATTACAGAATTAATTTTATCTTTAAATTTTATTTAATTAGAACTTTTCAAATCAGATGTGGGAAATACAGTTTATATAATGGATCTGTACCCAATGACAGAATACACACTGATTTAAAACTCTCGTTGTTCATACCTTTATAAACTGTCAGCGTAAAAGAAATATGTTCAGAAACTTTGTGCACAAGGAAGCAAGTTATTCACTGCATATGACAATAATTCTTTGAAATTATCTCTCTGAGTTCTGATTCCTCAAAGTGAACATTAATTTAAAGCCACATAGGGTCAAACTCGTAGGGTCTAATATGCACGCTTCAGAAGCCGTCTCTGAAAGAGGATCTGAAAAGCAAAAAATGATGTTAAGAAAGATACTATGTCCTCAAATGAATGTTCTAAAAACAAATCTGTATCAAAAAAAAAAGATGTTTCTTTTAATTCACCATCTCGAATAATGAAATTAGAAAGCACAGGAATATCGGGCACTTACCACACACCGAAGGCGCAGATTTATCTCCCAGAATGGCTTCTTGCACCTGTCCAGAAATACAAGGATCTGTAATCAAAAAAAGAGTTTTTTTTATTTACTATAATTTGTCCTCAATTGGCACTAATAACTGTATATTAAAAGGAACATACCATGAGAAACGTCCATAAAAACTTGAGATGACACCTCACGTGGATGAAAAAATCTGAAAATGGAGACAAACTTGAAATCTATCTCATCTTCAATAAATGCAACAAAGTAATAATTGAGATTCTTAAAGATTATCGCAAATATTTACCTTTCACAAGGCTAGAATAAGCATCTGCTGTACTTGCTGCAGCAGCATGTTCAACAGCACTAGAACCTGTCAACATCTTCCAACAACAACAGAATCAACAACAAATTATTGCCAAAACATTATGCTTTCAATAGCATGCTTCTTTTTGCATTT